AAATTAAATAGAAGCCTGAAATTTAATTAATATTAATATGCCAAGTATGGCCTCTTAAAGTTGACAAATATATCATGGAAATGGAAGATGTCGGGAACAGGTAAAGAGTACATGGGAATGCTAACCTCTACCTGAAACTTCTTATAAATGTGAAGTTATTTCAAAAATCAAAAGGTCATTAAATTATGGAAGTGACAGGCAGGCATTTGGCATGGCAGCCAACACAGCCATCTGGAACATTCAGCCCATTCTGGAGTTCCACCCAACTCCACTTCCGGGTCAGTTTACTGCTAATCTAGACCAAGCAGGGCAGCGAACGATGGCTGGGGTACCTAGGTTCCCAAAACCTACTCGGTAGATGCAGATTCAGATCTGAGCTCCAGGCTTCAGCCTGAAACAGCTTGGCTGCTGTGGACAACTGCAGGGTAACAGATGTCTGGCTCTGTCTCTGTGTCTGCCTTTTAGGCAAAAATGAAAATCAGTTAAGCTAAAAAAAAGAAAAAAGTGGTGGGGTTAACTTTTTGTTTTGAGTGCTTGTTTAATTCTTCTGTGTTTAACGAGCATTAAGTTTCCTTATCCTGAGGAGGCCTAAGTAGCTTTCCTAAAGCTATACAGTTGAGACGGTCTAGGAATCCTGGTCCTCCCCTCTGGATCCCACTCCGAAAGCCCAGGAGCATGCCTCCTATAGACATTCTACCCTCCTAATTTGCAAATAGAAATTTAGTGTCACCGAATCATTTTATCCTCAAGGTAACTGATACGGATGAAACAATATTGATGAAACCATAAAGATGAAACAATATTGACAACTGTTAAGTTGGAAGATGGGAATTACTTCTATCAGGTACTGTGTGTGTGTGTGTGTGTGTGTGTGTGTGTGTGTGTGTGTGTTTGAACCTCAGATTTTAAATGCTTTAGTGAAAAAAAATTTTTGAAATTCATGCAAAATTTTTTTCAAAAAATATGTATTTTCTTTTCACATGCATGGGATTCAATTTGGGGAGGGAACACCAAAATAATCTTATCTTTTAATTCTATTTTTCCACAAATTTTCTGAAGCACTTGCATACTCTTCATCTCTGTATATCTGCAAGTTTCCATAAGAAAAATACTTTCATTAAAAAGTAAAGCTTTCAGTCGAGGACGGCCCAAAGCTTTGGGAACCTGCACCTGCGTGGCAGACCCGGAAGAGGCTCCTGGCTTCGGATCAGCATAGTATCGGCCGTTGCGCTCACTTGGGGAGTGAATCATTGGACGGAAGATCTTCCTCTCTGTCTCTCCTCTCTGTATATCCGCCTTTCCAATAAAAAAAATAAAAATAAATCTTTAAAAAAAAAAAAAGATTCAATATGTCTCAGCGGGAGGAGAAGAAAATCCCCTACTGGGAACCAGGACCTTCAGGCTTTCCTTTGCTCGCTTCATGAATTGTAACAGCTCATTAATTCTTCCTCAAAACACCCAATTTCCTTAACCATTGCCCCCAGTCAATCCACAAAATTCTTGCGAGTTTAAAAATCTTGTTTCAACTTTCTACTAGTTCTTAACATAATCAAAACCACATTCATCTTTTCCCAAAGTTCTTAGGATCTCTTAATTCCCTCTTCCTGATAACCTGTTCTTCCAGCCACTCAGCCACGGTGACTGCGACCACCCCTTCCACTTGAACACACAGCTGTCCCCACATCATCACCCTATCTCATCTAACCTGCCACCACCCCCTCTCCACTCAACCTCACCAAGCTCTCTGGAAGCCGTCGCCTCCAAGGCCACCAGCTCAGCTCAGCCCCACATGGACTGCTACCAGGTTCGTCTCTACCGCCTTTCTCTTTACCACCATCTCTGATATTCATCCGTAAGCTCACCACAATCCAACCCTGACCTTTTGGAAGCCTTGCTCTCCATCCTGTACCCTGACATATCCCATCCCAGGAATCAGGTAACCCGGAGTTGCAGTTTCCTGGCATCACCAGAGATTTCCATCTAAAATGTTCTCTCCTTTCCTTTTTTCTCTTTTTCAAGGTGGTGCAACTTTAGTGCAATCTCTCCAGCTGAAGTGTCTGGGATGTCCCCAAGGGGGCAGTATCACTCCATCCATTCAAAACTTGCACAAGTCTCTTACAGCACCTCAAAAATTTCTCGGTTTTTTTTTTTTTTTTTTTTTTTGGATGCCCCTGTCCTCTCTGGATGCTTAGTTCTTGGCAATAGGGATAATGCTTCATTATTCTTCCAATCCCTCAGAACAGAGCTTCTCAAAGAGTGTACCACAGCACCCTGGCACATGTGAACAAGTCAAAGACATCCAGAAATGATGTACTCAGCCCTCCAAGCAGCCACAAAGGAACAACTCGAGCCAGAACTCCCAAGCGGGAATGCTTCAAGCAGTCCATTCCTTCACCCCAGCACAAAGTACAGTAACCCAAGGCACAGAGTGGATGCCCAGCAAACACTCACTGAATCAAAATCTTCAAACAAAACATCTGTTTCAATCCAACCATTATCCTCAGGACCACTAACCATTTGTACTCTTTTAATGAGCTCTTCTACTGATCATGCCCTGTTAATCTTCCTAATTACCAACTAGGCATCAGCTGGTGAGACTTGCCTGACCATTCAAAGCCTTATCAAGTTCGTCATATAATATAGCGAAGGATCCAAACAATTCACAATGAAGAGACACAAGGAGTAAAATTCAACATTACATACCAATGTAAATATCATTTTTCCTTTTCATTTATTAATTTGAATGATTGATCTCCCACCCACTGGTTCATTTCCCAAATGTCTACAATAGTCAGGACTAGGCCAGGCTGCAGCTAGGAGCCCAAAATTCAACCTGGTGTCCCCTTGTAGGCGGCAGGGACCCGTTCCTTGAGCCATCAACTCCTGTCTCTGCATTAGCAGGAAGCGGGGATGGAGAACAGTGCCAGGACTCAAAAAACTGGCACCCCAAAAGGAAATTAAGGCACCCCAAGTGACAGCCTAACTGCCAGGCCAAACGCCCACCCCTGCAAGTGCCATTTTACACTATTTCAATTAGCAAGAAACTGAGGGGAAAAAATGGATTTCTACCTAGTTTATGCTGGAACAGATTATATCCATGACTATGTTAGCCATGTAAACTGGCACAGCACCCCCAAAAATACTATGACAAAACTGTAAAAGCTACAACACGGAAATGCTTCACTTACACTGTTACTACTTCTTTAAAAAATCATATTACAATGTACTATAACTTAAAATGAGTTTTATTTTGAAATAGCATATCAAAGAGAATCAACTGTTTTAAGGTAATAACGCAAACACTGAATGGTTTACTTCAAATCAACTTAGTCAATATTAATAAAGTTTTACCGCACTCAGAAACACAGGGTTTCTAGGATGCAATCGTGATCAAGTCTCAAGCAGAAAACCACCTCTCCTTTCTCACTGTTCACTTTGGCCATGACTGGGAGCTTTCTGGTTCTCCTTGGTCAGGATGGCACGTGACTAGGCCAGACCCTAGTTCTCCAAAAGCCAGCACGCTGCTTCCAGCGCTTTTCTGGTCATCTCCCACCACTCTGTGCTGCACAACCAGGCAAAAAACAACAAACCTCTTCAGAAACAAACCACTGTTAACAATCAGCAGGCTGCCAAACCCTAAGCCTCATCCTCAAAGCCCTGGAGGTCTACAGAACTGGGATTCTCAAGGCCAATTTGCCAAAGGCACACAAAAAGGCAAGAGTTAAAGGTAAAAACTAAGAGAAAGAGACCTGAGTACAGTTAGGGGAAAAAAAAAGTTTTGAATGTGTCTGAGTGTTTTAACTACAAAAACGTAATGTTTAAAACTCCAGCTTATGCTATTTGGGGGTAAAAAGCAGCTAGTGATGCTCTTAGAAATCTTACCCAGCCAAAGGACAGACGGCAGAATATCAAGTCACCTTATCAAGAGCTGAAGCTTGGAGCCCCCACCATTGGTGTAACAGGTTAAGCTTCTGCCTGTGGCACCAGCATTCCCCATGGGCGCTGGTTTAAGTCCCAGCTGCTCCACTTCCACTTCATGTCTCTGATAATAGCCTGGGATAGCAGCGGATGATGGCAAAGTCCTTGGGCCCCTGCATGCAAGTGGGAGACCCAGAAGGATCCCCTGGCTCCTGGCTTCAATTCGGCCCAGCTCCAGCCATTGCGGCCATTTGGGGAGTGGGCCAGAAGATGGAGAACCTCTATCTCTGGCTTTCAAATAAACATAAATAAATCTCAACAAAATCAGAAATGAAGCTTTCTGGAGACAGATATATCTAACAAAGCACTAATATTAAAAACACATCAAGGAACAATTTTACCACTGGCATCCCACAAAGACAATGTTAAACATCACTGCGAGTTTTTCCTGCAGCATTACATTTTTCCAACTTCAATACAAAAAAGCAAGATATTATAACGGACCAAGAAAATTAATTATTGTGATATAATAAATACTTGTGACTTAAGACTGTCCCCAACTAGCAAGCATTTTAGCAAAAGATAAATAATTTGAAGGTCTAATAGAGTAGCTATAGCCAGGCACACACACATACTGTCATTCGTGACACCGAACACAGCAGACAATGAGAAAAACCAATTCAATATTTAACCAGGTTCATCAGAGCACAGGGTGACTGCCACCCAAGAATGTTGACACAAAAATTGAACATTCTCTTAAGTTGCAATCACACGCAGACAAGCTGGGCCTCTGGGCAGTTAGCATTCTGAACCGAGGTAGAAGATTAACCTACCTTACTTTCCAGGCTAACTAGTTTGACCAAGTAGCAGGCAGGGTCTCTGTTCGCCGGGAGTCTGCTCCAGAAGCAGCTGATCGGTGAGGACTCGCCTCTTCAGGCCAGGTTCTCCTATCACCCAATCTCACTGCACCCTACCCCACGTCAGCCCTTCTAGACAGACAGGCTTTCTGGCATTCAGTCGCTCCTCTTTCTCAGGCGCTGCTGGGTACCTGTTCTACAGAGTCGCTCCTAAACCTTACTCACCTGCAGTTCACTGCACTGGGTATCACCCAAATAGCCCATCAGAGCTCTTTATAATTTCTGAAAGAGAGAGAAGGCAGCTTTTAAACACTGAACATCATCTACCCATGTATCAGTTCCCATGCATTTGTATCCAATAGTCACAGCATCTCGTCCTTTGGTCCATCCCAGTTCAGTAAAATGTTGCATACCCAGCACTGGACCCAGAGTCCTGAGATAAGAGACCAGAGATAAAAGCCTGCCTTAATGTTGCTACTGGGTGGTGTGGCCTTGGGTAAATCACCTCATTTCTCCAAGACGAAATGTCCTTATTTGGAAATGAAGACAGACTAGCTACAGAGCACAGGCTTGTCAGAAAAGCCACCAGCTTCACCCCTTGACTCATCTGGTATCTGAACACTAGTTGGTTCCCGCTGAAGCCGACATTTCCCCCTTCGCAAAATTTGCACCAACAGCTATCTTGTGAGCTACAAGGAGACGTAAAGGTGATAATGAATTACAGAATGCCTATTGCAAATAAAAGGTGCAGATTAATCATAAAATTCCACTACTGGTGTCTCAATATCCCTACTTCCCATTCCAACCCTAAAACTACATCCACTCAATTCACAAATATTTCCTTAAAAGATTAAATCAAGGGCCAGTGTCATGGCATGCTGGTTGTAGCTGCTGCCTGGAATGCCAGCATCCCACTTGGCACCTCTTTGGGTCCTAGCTGCTCCACTTCCATTCCAACTCCCTGTTGATAGCCTTGGGAGAGCAGTGAAAGATGGCCCAAAAATCTGGGCCCCTGCCACCCATGTGGGGTGTTGCAGCCATATGGGAAGTGAACCAGAGGATGGAAGATCTGTCTCTCCCTCTTTGTAATTCTGACTTGCACATAAATGAATCTGACTTCCACATTAATAAAAATAAATTTTTCTTTTAAAATGGTAAGTCAAAACTTTGCCAACAGGACAACAGAATTCTGTGTACTACACAATTCAATTATGGTTAACTTCGACTGATGGTGGTTTGCAATTATCACTACGACTTAACATTGCAGGAAGTAAGATCAGAATGGTCCCTGCACAACATCCAGCCTCAGGCTCCACAAGCACCCATGCCTTTTCTGACTTCTGACTCCTCTTGCCACCTGCCCGCCTGCCTGCCTGCCCGCCTGCCCACCAGGAGCCTTCCTTAGAACAGAGGCCTTCCAAGAGCTAAGCGGCACCCAACTACTTCTCCTTGGCAGCTCAGGGGACAGGACAGGAGATGGAAGAAAGAGGGCAAAAGCCTTTATTCACTTCATCTTTTTTACTTTATGTGTTTCAGTACTGCTCAAATTTGTTCACCAATGTCATGTGTTAAATTTTGTTCAAAAATAAAGTTTTACAAACTATGTTAGCTATACTGCCTGCGGACAGAAAGCTCATGCGACAAGCGTATTCTCGCCACAATTAGAATCTGTAAAGAAAGAGGTAAATTCAGCTTGCCAAAAACACCTGGGATGTCACACAGAAATAACAAAAATTGCAAACATTCACCCTTCGGGACAGTTTGGTCCAAAACACGCCACGCATTCTTTAAAGAACGCAATGCTGAATCAGGCGCTTTCTTGTTCACAAGCAAGATAAATGTATAAACTCTGCTTTTATCAAGCAACTTCCTGATGCTATTCACAGAAAATGACCCACTACAATCTACAAAAGTAAGCAAGCTGGTATGCACATTGACAAGCTCTCAACTTCTTGCAGAAAACTGAAAGTTTAATGAATTGCTATGCATATAAGCAAAAACTCATATCTGAATAGTCTGAATTGTCTTTCATAAAAGAGAAAACTATTACTTCTAATAGATTGAAGATAACTCAAAAGTTGTATCGCAGGCACCCTCAAAATAAAAACCCCACAGTATGTTTTATCCTTCCTTTTATCAGTGCTATTCACACAAACAGTCCTGACTACAGCAACGAACTGAAATGAATTTGTAAGCTAGTATGTCCACACTCTCCACTTGGAATACACTGCTCTAGGAAACATTTCAAAATACTACTTAAGGGGCCAGTAAAACGGTTCAACTGGCTAATCATCCCTCTTCAGGCATCCAGATCCCATGTGGATGCTGGATCCTGTCCAGGCTGCTTTACTTCCCATCCAGCTGATTGCAGCTTGGCAAAGTAGCAGAGATAGCCCAAGGCCTTGGGACCCTGCACTCATACGGGAAACCTGGAAGAAGCTCCTGGCTTCATATGGGCTCAGCTCCAGCCGCTATTGCCATTTGGGGAACAAACCAATGGTTAGAAGGTCTCTGACTGAAAGGCACGCACCAGTATGTGTGCGGGCTGGATAGCAGGGTTGGTTGGGTTGAACTAGGCTTCAATGCCCATTGACATGTATGAGAGCTAAATGGGATGTGGGACAGACTGAACAAGTCTGCAGTACATACTGGCATGCATGGGAACCAGGTTAGGGGGCAGGCCTGTGGGGTTATTGGAAATCGCCCCAACTAGGCTGCAGCTCCCACTGGTTTTCATGACGGCCGAGTATGAAGTAGGCAGGATCGGGCTGGACTACAACACCCATTGGTTCATGTGGAAGACAGGGCTGGAAACAGAACTGACCCAGCAATTGCAATGACCAGCATGTGCATAAGCTGATTGGGGCAAAAGACACTGCCGGACCCTATACTGGCAAGCACACACAAGAATCAGGTCTGGGATCACCTCAGTTTCTTTGGAGATCCCTCCAACTGAACTGCTAATCTCAGAACCCCAACCATGAAGAGACTATGTCAGCCAATGGATTCTGAACAAATTCCATCGTGATTGGAATGGCGAGACTGGCAGCAATTCAGAACTGTTGAACTACCAAAACTGCTTGAGCAGGACCCTTGGAGCATGCCTCACATTGGGGACCTGGGATGGGTGGGAGGCTGGGTGGGGCTTCTCCCTTTGTTTCTCCCCTGACCCCAGATAAAAGAAAAAAAAAGATATTAGTGTGGAAACAATGGTCTTACCCACTTTCCTGTAAAAAATAAAAATAATAAGATAAAATATGAAAAAAGGTCTCTGCCCTCTAATAAATCTGCCTTCCAACAACAATAAATAAATTTCTTTAATTACTTTAAAATTTCAACTACATTTGCAAAGACACCCAATTTTATGAAAACAAACAACTGGCCTACAATTTTTTACCTAGTTCCTCACCCTTTCTTGGGTAGAAATTCTTTTTTTTTTTTTTAATAAAGTTATCTATAGAACTAATCAAACTTTTTAAAAAAGATTTATTTATTTTATTTTTTATTGGAAAGGCAGATATAAAGAGAGAAGGAAAGACAGACAGAAGATCTTCATCTGCTGGTTCACTCCCCAAGGAGCTGCAATGGCCAGAGCTGAGCCAATCCGTAGTCAGGAGCCAGGAGATTCTTCCAGGTCTCCCACACAGGTGCAGGGTCCCAAGGCTTTGGGCCATCCTCAACTGCTTTCCCAGGCCATAAGCAGGGAGCTGGATGGGAAGTGGAGCAGCCTGGACAGGAACCAGTGCCTATATGGGATCCCAGAGGATTAAAGGCAAGGATTTAGCCACTAAGCTAGCACACTAGGCCCAGGTAGCAATTTTTGATCAGTGTGGCCCAAGGTTTTTTGCATATTAGCAACAACAGGCAAAGGACCTTATTTCTTGGCCTGGGTCTATCTGAGAGACAACTGCAGGCTGATCTACATTCAGTATTTATGCCCAGCCTACTTCTCAAACAAAGAATGCAAGGGGTTGGCATGGTGGCCTACTAGGCTAGTCCTCTACCTGCCAACAAGAGCATCCCTTCAGATGCCAGTTCATTCTGGGTTGCTCCATTTCCCAATCCGACTCTCTGCTTTGGGTATGGGAAAACAGCAGAGGGTGGCCAAGTCCTTGGACCCATGCATTCCATGCGCAAGACTTGGAAAAAGCTCCTGACCCCCATCTGCCAACCCAGCCAACCCAGCCAGCTCTGGCTATAGTAGCCATTTGGGGAGGGACAGATCTCTCTGTCCCTAACTCTGACTTTCTAATTCTGACTTTCCAAATAAAATAAATAAATAAATAAATAAATAAATCTTAATAAAACACACACACACAGAGAGAGATGCAGTTCTTACATGTGGTCCAATCATTCTCAGGTCCCTCTGCACAATTCTGATCCTTTCATGAATGTGCTTATACATTTTGTAATTACACAAGGCCCTTCCCAAGTAGAAATGATTTACCCTGCTGCTCTGGCATCACTTGCCTCTCCTGAGAACAGTGTACAGCTCCTGAAAGTGCACAGACTACAATGTCAACTGAACATTTATGGCACTGAGAAGCAAAATGTGGTACTAACAGTGCACAAAACCATTTCCTGGCTGATAGTGAGGTACAGGACTGTACTTATTGACTCCCCAAAACTATGGCCTCCACCTAAAAATAGTGCCCTATCTGTGCCAATAGACTATAAACACTCCAAGACCCTGACTTCTCCTTCCTCGCAACCTTCAGAACTACGATATTTCCCACGTTAGAACACTACGAAACAAACTGGCAACTGACCACTAACTTCACTCGGAAGTGTATACTCACCTTTTACACATACGAACACTGCAGAAAATGTGCTCACCCGTTCAGGCTACACACCACGAGCCACACCGGAGCCCCTAATTCTCACACTGAATTCCAGGGGACAAAGCACAATCTCACCAGGCTAAAAGTGGACCACTTGTTCCTGCCCACAAAATAACTCCAACATCTCCACAAGAAACTATTCATCCTGGGAAGCTTACAGATATGCCTCCAGGTGCAAATAAAAGACAAATTTAACAGTTCAGATCTACCCTGCCATGAATCAAAGCAAAAATTATATGTAATACATATAAACACTGCTGATTTTCAAACGTAAGCAACTATGGTATATGCATTTAGAAAGAATCCTGGTTTATGTTCACCTTGCTTTCCCAAAGCGGTGTGTGTGTGTAGTGTGTAAAAAAATGTCAATTACACTGCTTAACAAGAAAATAAAATATATGGTGTGCAATATACTTTTCTGAAGCAGATGTACCAGATAGGAAAGGCTTGAATGAGGACTTCAAAATCTAGAGGCCGAGATGTGTTAAAAAGAAAAAAGAAAAAAAAAAACTACAGGAACCAATCAACTGATCAGTTTCTTTACGGTTTTCTAAAGCAATCAGAGCAAAATATTTTCTAAAGTTGAAAAAGCTGTGGAAATACAAAATTAGCCACTTCTCTTCCTATCCTTAGCTGAGTATCAACTATTCACTACCAATGCTCTTCAAATCCAAAGAAAGCATTTTAACTTTACAAAAATAAAGCAACCTGCTGAAGGCACACGCCACAGACGATCCTAAAACAATGCCACACTACTCTCGCCCCTGATACGCTGAGCAGAACGCCACACCATCATTTTTACTGCCAAGGAACTATTAGAGACACGAGGAATATTCCATTTTGCAGCAGGGGCGATGGGCTTGCCAGCAATAAATCTTTCCCACCCACATGGTGTACTTTGCAAGTGTCCCACCTCAAGCCCTACAGACACAACTCACTATACCCAACACAGAAGAAGCAATGGACAGTAAAAGACAGATAAAATTAAGACACCCAATTAAAGTTCCACAAGGAAATCTGAAGAGGCAAACTATAAGGGGAACTGCAAATAACACTGGGCCCTCGGAGCCACGGAAAAGCCCAGCACACTGGACAGACTTTCCCTTTCCAAAACGTGGCCCAACCCACGTACATCCATTTGACTGAACGAAATATTTGGAAGAGCGAGATGGGCCATCAAATTCCTTCACTTCAGCCTTACCCTCAGGAACGGATTCAAATGAAAAAAAGGAAAACAGAGAAATGGCTTGTTTTAGTCTCACCTTGCACATCGCACCAGCACTGTAGTTCCTGGGTGATCCACTTCATCCAAATCCTAAGGCAAACAGAGAAGTGAAATATGCCTATACAGCAGCACAAATGGACATTATCAGTAGCCAACATCTTCCCAGCCTGGGGTGTTGAGGGCATGTCAACTTCCAACGTGAGAAGTTACAAAAGGGGTGCAGCAACTTTCAAGAGTTTTTGTTTTTTTTTTTTTTCTTCCAATGAAGAAAACACCTCCTTTCATGGAGATGAAATAGAGGCTAAAAGTTTCTTGAGATCGAAAACCTAACAAAATCATCAATTTGCAACACTGGTTTTCCTTTTAAAAAAAAAAAGATGGAAGAGAGAAAAATCACCTGAATATGAGTTTACTAACACAGGGAACAAAATTGAGAACAAGCAAGCAGTGGCCACCCCTCCTTCCTTCCACTGCTCCAAGAACCCCCCTTCTCTGCAATTATACTTTTATTATAATGATGGCTTGCTTGAAAAGCATGAGTTGTGTGGGAAACGGGACGGCTCAGTGCTTGAGCTGCACACAAAACCTTCAGCGCGGGGCATCAAGGAAGACCCCCGCCTCCTCGGTTTCCAAGCGGGTCTAAGGAATCCCCAGCAGGGGAGGGGAGGAGAAGGGCAGGGGGGTTAAAACCAGAGTTCCCCGAGGTAAGACCTTGCACCCTTGCAAAGGAGACGTTTTTATTTGTGCAGATGGCTTTGTGGGCCAGTGTGCATTTCCGACGAGGGGGGCGGGGAGCGGCCAGCGGTTGGGGCTGGGTGGGGTGGCGGGGTGGGATGGGGAAAAGTGAGTCTCAGGCCGGGAGACCTGTGCGGGCAAGGGTGGGGACGCAGCCCTGACCCACTTTCCGCGGCGCCCACCTTGGGCACGAGCCCCCGAGGGGGGAGGAAATCGAGCGGGGCGTGGGAAGCCCTCACGTTCCCCATCCCCAGGAGCGACCCGGAGGAACGGGGGGTGAGCGTGCACCCAGGCTCGGCTCCCACCCCCCCACAGCCCACAGCCCGGCGAGCCGAGGTGCCCCGGGGCCGGAGAAGCCTTCCCTCAGGCTCTCGGCCCGGGCTTGCAAGGCGCACCCCCCTCCTAGGCCTGAGCCCCGGGCGCCGCGGCCCCCGGCGGAGGCGAAGGGGACAAGAGGAGGGGAAGAAGCTGTAAACAGCCCCAGCGTCCGGGCCTCGCCTCGAAGAGCCCCGCTTCCCAGGCCCCGCCATGGGCCGCCCGGGCCCCCGGCCGACCCCGGGGCCGCCTCGCCTGAAGCCCGGGGCGCCGGAGAGGAGTCGGGTCCCCTCCCCAGAGGGCTCCGGCAGCCCGCGGAGCGGCCCCAGCAGCAGAGAAGGGGGAAGTCAGGACTTACCTGTCATTACTTTCTACGCCATCTTGGATCCACTTGTCAACGTCCCCACAAAGCATTATGGGTAGGAAAGAGCCTTTAAAGTGACTCCCCCCTCGGCCCCCGACTCCCGCCTCCCGCCGTCGGCGCCGCCCCCTCGGGCCGCACCTCCCGCCCCAAAGTTGCCCCGGGTGGCCCTCCGGCCCCGGCGCCCGCCGCCCGGCCCCCTTCCTCTCCCCGCGGTGCTGGCTTTGGAAATTCATCCTCATTCTGTCGCCGTGGCTCTGGGGTGTGGGGTGTGGGGGGGGCGGGGAGAGGAGGGAATGGGGGGACAGTGTCTGCTCTTTCTCCTGGCCCCCCGCCGCCCTCCTGCCCTGGCAGCCGCCTAGAATCAGCCCGAGGTGTGCGTGCCGCGGGCGGCGGCGGGCCGCGCGTGGACTGAGGGCTCCTGCCGCTCGGCGGCCGCGCTCCTCGCCCCCCAGCCCGGGGTAGCAGGGGGTCGCCCTTGGAGACCCCCCCCCAGCACCCTGAGGGCCGTGAAGCCGGCTCTGTCCCCAGCAAGCCAGACCCGCGGCCCGTCGGGCTCCGAGGAATGGGCGGGCGGACCCCAAGTCTCAGGGCGACCTACGTCGAAGCACACCAACGAGTGGGGCGGAGGGGGGATGAGGAATAAGCTAAATAACAACTTTTACCCCCTTCTTAGGTTTGACTTCTACGTCTCCTCCTTTCAGCCGTGACCTTCTAGGTGGGAACTCCCGCCCCCCAGGAACGGGGGTGGCTTGGAGCTCCGCCAGATGTGCCCGGCTAGGAACTGTGGCTCCCGGGGCAGGTAACTCGGGGGGAGGATCCCGCCTAGATGTGTTGAGGACAGGTCCCCGCAGGAGGGGGCGCGGCTCCGGAACCCCAGAGCCCCGGGATAGGGGCGCGAGGCCGGAGGTCCCAAAGGCAGTCGGAGCTGCAAGCCGGAGGCGTGAGGAGGGACCCTCCCACCACCCCTCCGCCCCCAGTCCTCCCTGGCCCCTTCTGGATCCCAGGCATCTGGCCTCCCAAGAGTAGGGGGCTGCCTGGCCAACTGCTTACCCTCTTGTCTCGCGGCATTGGGGATGCAACTTCGAGGACCTGCTGTTGGGTCCTTTTCTGTTTCTTTACAAGCAAGTTTTGTTGTTTTGTTTTTTTACGACTCCCAAGGAAGTGTGCAAAAGACAATCCAACTCGTGCAAGCAAGTATATTCGGGACAAAATGCTGCTGGCTGGCCGTGCAGGGCCAGGGGCTTTCCACCCAGGGAAGGGACACTAGGGACACTGCCCAGGATCCTACCCGAAGCCTCTCCAGGAACCTGAATGGTTGCACACGCAAGCCCTGCCCCCAGGGAGTCTAAAACCTGCACCAGGCAATTGTCCCAGCCAGATGAGAGGCATGAGGTGTGGACTCATTAAGGGATTGGCCCGAGGTCACTGGCTAGGGCGGGGGCACCCAGAGTGAGTCAGGGAGCACAGCCCGTGGGGTGATCACTTATCCTGAGCTGGGAACCGGCTTCCCGCACGCCCGGCTCCCGCCGCCCCCAGCAGCCTGTCTGCCTCCCGCAGGGAAATGGAATGCTTCTCCCTTCCAAAGGTTCTGGGGGTAAACCTGCTGTTCTGGGGGTAAACCTGCTGCTCGCCTTGTAGTTCTCCACTTGTTTGTCCACTGGGGCCACTGATTGAATGTCTGCACCTTCGGGCGAGTCTTCTGAGCTTCCGATAAGTAAACATGGAAGAAGCCAGCAGTGTTTCATTGATGAGTAGCCTTGCGTTTGTTTGTTTGTTTTCATTTTGAAAGACTGGAAAACAGAGAATAGAACCCGTTAAATCGGCTGGTTCACTCCCCAAATGTGGCTGCCATGGCCAGAACTGAGCCAGTCCGAAGGCAGGAACCAGGAGTTTCTTCAAGGTCCCCACAATGAGTGCAGGGTCCCAAGGCTTTGGGCTGTCCTCCTAGGACACAGCCAAGGAGCTGGAAGGGAAGTGAATCAGGCAGGGTACGGACCGGTGCCCATTTAGGATCCCGGCACATGCAAGGTGAGGACTTCAGGCCACTAGGCTATCATGCTGGGCCCCATCTCAACCATTTTAAGTGCAAGTAGGTCAGCCGTGTTGGGTACATTCAGTGTTTTACAACTGATCTCCAGGACTCTTTTCATTGTGGAAAAAGAAGCCTCAGCTTGCATCAGTCCGCTCCCATCTCCCTCTCCCTGAAGGCCCGGAAACCCGACTTCTACTTTTTGTCTCTATGAATTTGGCTACTCTAGGGGTGCCATGCCAAGTGGAATCATACGGCTTTTGTTCTTCTGTGTTTGGTCTATTTCACTAAGACTCATTTGTGTTGCGCATGTGTCAAGAATTTCCTTCCTGTTTAGGACTGAAGAGTCCCTCCTATGGACAGACCTACGATGGTTTGTTTGCCCGTTCATTGTCAGTGGACGCTTGAGCTGCTTCCAGCTTTTGGCTGTTGTGGGGTTGCTGCCATGAACATGGGCACAGACACATGTTTGCACTTCTGCTTTCACTTCTGGATTGCTAAATCAGAAGGTAATTCTGTGGGCCCAGCGCAATAGCCTAATGGCTAAAGTCCTCACCTTGCATGCACTCGGATCCTATATGGGTGCTGGTTTGTGTCCTGGTGGCCCCACTTCCCATCCAGCTCCCTGCTTGTGTCCTGGGAGGGCAGTCAAGGATGGCCCAAAGCCTTGGGACCCTGCACCTGCATGGAAAGAACCTCTCGGCTCCTGGCTTCAGATTGGCTCAGCTCCGGCTATGGCAGCTACTTGGGGAGTGAATCAGCAGATGGAAGATCTTCCTCTCTGTCTCCTATCTATATATGACTTTCCAATAAAAATAAAATAAATCTTAAAAAAAAAAAAGAGGAAGTAATTCTGTTCACTTTTCTGTGGAACTACCATATTGTTTTCTGTTTAAGTTCCTACCATGCAGCACACCAGCATCTCAATTTCCCTACCTCCTTGCCAACACCTGCTGCTTCCTCCCCTCCCATTAGGGGCAGGGACTCCTCCACCTGGCGCACCACCTATTATCTGGGTCTGCATTGGGAGAGTGGTGAATCAGGAGTGCAGCCAGGACGTGAACTCAGACACTCCGATACGAGAGGTGGGCACCCCAACCAAGTGTCCTAAATGCTAGGGCAAACCCCCATCTCTGCCAGTCATGAACTGTTCCTCCTGCCCAGGCAAGGCCATGCCCACAGCCCCACTTTCTACAGCACTGAACTCCAATTTTTGGGAGAGCACAGGTTGGCAAACAACAGATAACTTGTTGGATTGGGCCCTCAGTCTATTTCTGTGGTAATAGAGTGTTAGAGTCGCTTTTTGTATCTTTGGAAAATCCTCTTTCATTGTGGCAAAATATGATACATAAATATAAAATTTGCCACTTTAGTCATTTCAAGTATGGAATTCAGTTGCATTCACTATAGTCTCAATGTTGTGAAACTGCCATTATCTTTTCCCTGAAGTTTCTGCATGTTTAAAGGGTTGTAAAAAAGCAAAGCAGATTACACAACACAGACTACACCAAGCAGATGTTTTTGTAAAAATACTCAAAAAGGGGCCCGGCGCGATAGTGCAGTGGTTAAAGTCCTCACCTTGAATGCACCAGGATCCTGTATGGGTGCCGGGTCTAATCCCAGCAGCTCCACTTCCCATCCAGCTCCCTGCGGGTGGCCTGGGAAAGCAGTGGAGGATGGCCCAAAGCCTTGGGACCATGTACTCCCGATCGGCTCAACTCTGACCTTGTAGCCACTCGGGGAGTGAACCAGAAAATCTTTGTCTCTCCTTCTCTCTGTATATCTGCCTTTCCAGTGAAAACAATACATCTTTGAAAAAAATAATAACAAACAAGAGATAAATCTTTAAAAAGAAGATTTTGAGGATAAATTCCATGTTATATGGGGGCTGGTGTTGTGGAGCAACAGGTTAAGCCACCACTTGCAGCACTGGCATCCCATTTGGGAGTGCCAGTTAGAGAGCCAGGGGCTCCACTCCTAATCCCACTATCTGCTAAATGTGCCAAAGACAAAAAATGATGGTCAAGTGCTTGGGCCCTGCCGCCCACAAGGAAACTGAGAGAAGCTCCTGGTCTTGGCTCTGGCCTAATCTAGGCCTGAATGTTGTACCCCTTTAGGGAGTAAACTAGCATATGAAAGAGCTGCCACTCTCTTTCAAATAAATATCTTTTTAATTATTTTTTTTAAGATTTATTTTTATTGGAAAGGCGGATATACAGAGAGGAGAGAGGAGAGAGAGAGAGGAAGATCTTCCATCCAATGATTCACTCCCCAAGTCAGCGCAACGGCCGATGCTACTATGCCAGTCAGAAGCCAGGAGCCTCCTCCAGGTCTGCCACGCAGGTGCAGGGTCCCAAAGCTTTGGGCCGTCCTCGACTGCTTTCCCAGGCCACAGTCAGAGAGCTGCATGGGAAGCGGGGCTGCCGGGATTAGAACTGGGCGACCATATGGGATCCCAGGCGTGCAAGGCGAGAACCTTAACCACTGTGCCATCGCGCCGGGCCCTAATTATGTATTTTTTTTTACCATAGTTTTTAAAATAAATTTCTCTTAAAAAAGACACACCATGCAAAACTTCTTAAAAGAAAGTAGACCTAAGGGAAAAGCGATTACTATTAATAAAAGGGAACATAGCATAATGATAATACTCGAGTTCATCAAGAAAATCCACCAGCTCTAAATGTGTGTGTGTGCCTAAAACACATAGCTTCAAAATATATATAGTAAGAAAAATGGGTGGAGTTGCAAGGAGGTACAGAGAAATCTGCAATGACATTGAACTTGTATTTATATATCACTCACTGTTTAGAAAAGCAGGTGCAAAATTAGGAAGAAACACTTGAACAACTGGACAATCAAACTTAACATGAACGGACATATATAGACTGGCGCATCCACAACTGCAGGCCACAGATGCCTTTCAAGTACATATGGAATGTTTATGAAATGCTGAGCCGTATAGCAAGTCCCAACATCTTCCAGATGATCTAAATCTTGCTAGAACACATGCTCAGACAGTGA